TATACCATCCTAGCTAGTCTAGGCCTAGAGTAGGATAAGGCTAGCGCGACATGTGGACGTTGGTACGAGTAGGTTAGTCTACAAACATCGCCTAAAGAAATTGATTTTACCCGGCAGAACGAAAGAAGGAAACTTCGCTTTTCAGTCGTCTTAGGCACTCTTTTTTTTAAACAATGACCTTTCAGAGGTCAAATTGCTGTCAAGAATATGAATTGGCTGCTTCGCAGCAATAATATCTCAAATTTATATGGTGCCAATTCCAAACAAGACCAAAGGCGCAAAGCATGTGAAAAGCCACCGGAAAACAAATAGTTCTTAAGCTGTGACTTAAAGTTGCAAATAGAGTATAGAGGATAAAAGTCAACAACTCTTGAATAAAAATGATAAATTAATAAGGTAAACATTAAGGTGATCCCTGGCTACTGTACCAGCCTTAGAGAGATGCCATAGTAACTACGTGTTCACATCATTCCATGATGAAATGAACCATAGCATCGGGGTAACCCCCTACTCTTCCAAAAGACACAATGGGTTCTTTAAAGCAGGTTGGCACATGCACCTTAAATTGCAGGCGAATGATGTGGTGATAACTAATTTCTCTGCACAGGTTGCTTCTTTTTATCTTTTTCAAAGTTTAGGTAGGAACAGTTTAACAGTTTATACTTTTGATAGGATGTACTTTAATTCACATTTGAAGTCTGACTACCAACTTCTTTTAGTTGGTGCCAAATATTTCCTACTGGAAATTGGTTAATACATGTATTATTATTATTATTTGTTATGAGCCCAATGTACACTGGACCTTTGGTTTCAAGTCTTCTTGGGGATAACATGGTTCTACCAACTGAACCCTGGGAAGAAGTATCTCAACTGCTGATATATAAGGCAGTTAGTACACTGTAGTGGTGCCTCAGCCTTACTATTCTGTCACCCGACCCACCTCATTAAAATGAATACCAATATATCAGAGTGTAATTAAACATGAAAAATAATATCATGTTAAACTTCAGGATTATGAATAATTAAACGTAACTTCAATGTTTGTTAGACATAACCCAATATAAAGCTGTTAATAGCAACACTTAGACAGGTCAATGCCAGTGGATGAGTCATTGATGTTTTCATGTCAACCCCAATAACAAAATTGGAGGTTGAATTACCGTTATTCTACCGGAGTTCAATCCCACAAGTAGGTGTGTACTGCAAAATCCTAATATCACTTCCTTTATACAAGTGGTTAATATTTGTATTAAATGATAAGGCCATTTTAATTGTGCAATTAATCTTTGATATCATTCAGTAGCATTGAAAATTCTTCAAAAACTTTCTTCTGGCTAATTTTCTAACTCTATTATATGTGATACAAGAAAGAAATGTTAATTACCAACTTTTTGTATCTTTTCAGTGCTATTTTATTAAAAAAGAATTAACTGCAGTATACATTGAAATGTCTCTAAAGTACTGTAATTATTACTGCAGGCACGAGTTGTTAAAAGCAATGTGTCGGCCTATAATTTTACCCCATATTGGAAAAAATTATCACCCGATGTTCTGTAAAAACTGAAAGGTCCACTGATTAATCTCAGATAAGATGGTATAATACAACTATTGAAATGCACGCCATTGTGTTGGGATTCAATATTTCGACATTAATTATGTCATCATCAGGAATGATGATGACATAATTAATGTCGAAATATTGAATCCTGACACGATGGTGTGCATTTTGATACTTGGATTATGCACTGTATTATACTATCTTATGTCCTGCAAACAATTAATAAAAACAAAATCTAAAAGCAATGTTAAACATAAATACTGTACATTTATAAGTTACTTAATTGTAATAGAAATTAGGACCCTCATTTAATCTAATTTTTTACAAAAACTTTATTATGATTTGTTCTCATCACTTCAACTAAATTTCATTGTTTCATTTTAGGAGCATTTTGACTCGACTTGCACTTTCAGATCGTGACTTCAGGTTTAAACAAGTTTTCTCAATTAATCAATCAAGTAAAAGTATTAAACTAAGCAAAATTAATGTTTCATTGTTTCTTTCATCTCAATTATAAAATAAATTCAGACTATTCCTAAGTTTTTCATTTTTGTTAGGTTTTAAATTTTGTTTAAGATTGAAATTGCTCTCCTTTGCCATCATTTGTGGAGCTCTGTTCTATTGTAGATAATTACTGGAGGTTTCTAATATAATAATACTTACATCTAGCTTTCCAGCCCTTCTTTGATGGTCTGTATGACAGCATGGTAGCCTCTTTATTAACACAAAATGTACGTTCATGAGTTTTGCGTTGTTCTTCTTTAACCTTAATGAACGGTGTTCCTCGTTGTAGTCGCAGTAGTAGCTGCTCACCTGTATATCAGTAAAGTACATATATTATTACTTATTTATTAATTATTTATTTATTTATACATTTTCTCTGTTTTGTTCATAAGTAATAGCAATGTTTATGTCCTATCTTTGGTATGTAATTATGAGATCAGAAAAACTCTATATTGGATCATCTTATAGTGTCAGGTAGACTAAAACATTAATATCTATAACAATTACAATAGTATAGAGTGAAAATGTTAGGCAATGCATTATATTTACTCAATATTTAAATTCAGCTTTTTTTAAGACTGGTGATTCACAGCATGGAGGTATTTCCATGGTTAGATGGAAGCCTTGATATTTGTAAGAACCCAAGTAAAAAGCCTTGATACTTTTAATCTGTCCTTGGACCACCTTACAGAAAGTGTTTCAGAATACAAGAGTGTGTGCTCTGCAAGCAGTAGTTTCACCACATCCAATGTTTTAGGTATGACTAGGTCATACCTAAAACATTGACCATGGAAGCTAGGGCCTACTATATTAAACTGTAGGCATATCTGCCAAATCTAGATCATTTACATTGGCTAGTACACAGTTGGTAACAATTTTAAAAAGTGATGACTTATTTTTAGAAGTAAATAACAAGAGTGTGCACACTATGATGTGCCTCCCTGGTCTTGGACCAACATTGAAAGTTAATAATTTTGTTAATTTTTGTTTTTTTATCAAAATATAATTTCAAAATGCAAACTGGCACTCATTCAGTAAGGTACTATCAGGGAGTTGTTATAGTGACTGGAGATCCAACGCTGGCCTCTAAACAGCGATCATGGCCTAAAGGCACAATAAACCTATTAAGAACAAACGAACCGCCAATTATGAAGGCCATTTACGAGCGATAACGAGGCCTTTGATGTACATACTATCATACAGACCGGCTTCAACAGTGCAGCACCGCAATGGGAGGCGAGGACATGAACAACAAACCAAGTGTCCGATGTTACTCCAATAGTAAAACCCTATGCGCAGTTTAAATGGTTCATAGTTCAACTATTGTTCTTTGGATGCACTGTTGATCAGCATTTCGCGGCCTATATTTCACCGAAAAAAGCAAAAAAATCCGATAATTTTTCGTTTGTCTGTACTCATACGAAAATATAGCTATCATTTATAATGTCTATAATATTAGATGATTTTTAAGCAAGATTGAAACACTTTCCTAACGGTTCCTATCGATGAAACCTCGTGTTATTGGTGCGTAAACATGTGTTCGTACTCCTGGTACTCAACAATAAACTGTGCCCATGCGTGTTCATAGAGAAAACCTCATTATAAATTCAATGATTTGGCAGGTGGTGACGTCATTGAACATGGTTTTTGTTGGTGATAGTTCCTGTTTAGTAGCATAGGCCTATGTTTTACATGTATAGGTTTCATGGTTCGATCAATGAGTTAGATTAATCCTGATTTAATGATAAGGAGTGGGTGTGTGTGTTTGTTAGGTTTTTTTTATATTTCCTGGTGTTCCTCTTTTAATTAAATGTTTATAAAATTAGTTTTCCTGCTTTACTTTATTATTTTCAGATGAATATTAGTGCAGTCTATTAAGCAATCCAACTAAATAATATGACAAAATATGGCGTTACTGATGGAATGAATAACTGATAAACAGAAAAATACATAATAATTAATAATGATTATCAGTATATTTATTAAAAAGTAAAAATGAAATATGATAGTTTCACGTAATTACTTATTTCTTAGATATTATTTTAACGATGGATTCTATTTTACATTTTACCACTTCCAAACAATAATTGTCCAATGGGGTGACATATGTGCAAGAT